CCCCAAAACCCCAAAACCCCAAAACCCCAAAACCCCGATTTTTGTTACAAAAATTGAAAATAAATATGGACAAAAGACGCGGACCTATTATGGTCCCTCGTGAGAGCCCTCATTATCATAGAATGAGGTACTACTCTGCAATAAGGAAAGGACTAAAGCATATGAGTCAGTCTACAACATATCTAGATGTCCCCACTCATGTTATTGATGACAATGCATTTATTATCTTCCAAACTGGAAGAGAAGATCCTCATGATAGGAAACATTCCTCTTTATCAACAATCTTTAGTATTTGGAATACAATGGTCGGATCAGGGCTTTTTACAATTCCTTGGGCATTTTCTAACTCAGGTATTGTGCTTGGTTTGATTATTTCATTCATCACTTTTGCTATTTCGTATTATACCTGAAGTATCTACGTCAGGCTGGCTCGCAACGACTCAGATTTCGCAGATACGATGTATAAATACTTTGGAAAGAAGGGATGGGTTGTGACAATGATTTTCTCAATTCTGCTCATGTTCTCTGTTATCGTAATCTACTATGAACTTATGTCACAAGCTCTATTTCCAGTCATCGCAGCACTTATTGAATGGGGAGGAGCAAGCGAGGTTAGCTTGGATATGGGATTAGATTTGTCAAGATTCTCATTATTCTACACCTGAATTGCTTTGACCCTAATACTCTACCCTGTTGTGAGCAAGAGAGATATCTCAATGTTCATCAGGCTAAACTCCTTCGGCATAATTTTTGTGTGATTCATATTAATCTATATTCTTGCTTATGGATTTTATTCCTTGTCAAATACAACATTTGAGATATCTAATGAAGAAAGTGATTTAGAAGGCACTACAAGAAACATTTCTCTCTTCAGGAATAAATTTAATAACCTCGCAGGAATGATGACTCTAGGATATTACATACATAATGTCTGTATCTCCATTGTCAAAGAGAATAAGCACCCAGAGAATAACACCAGAGATGTGTTCATCGGATATTTCCTAGTGTTTCTCAGCTATAGCCTTGTTGGCTCACTTGGCTACCTCGGGTTTTCTGGGTACACTTTTAAGGCAAATATCAGAGAGACTGAGAATTTACTGTACATGTTCTCAGCCACAGATATGTTAGCCTTTGTGATAAGAATTATCTGATTTTGACAAATGTTTTCGGTTTATCCAATGCTGTTCTGTGTGATCAGAAATCAATTTGGAACAATATTTTATCAAGGAAGAGAATTAAGCAATGATATTTACTTAGCTTTTAATGCAACACTTCTAATCGTAGCTACTATTATAGGAGCAACTTTCCCAAAAGTTGGATCTATCCTTGGATATGTCGGAGGATTCATTGGATTAGGGTTGATCTATATAATTCCTATTTCTCTATTTCTTAAGCGCTACAAGTTGCAAATAGAGGATCCAAACTTAGTGGAGGCTCTTGATAATAACACAGTGCGTTCAGTTAAGAGAAAGAATCCTGAATTTTCACCAAAACTTGTTATTGAAGAATCCTCTACAAGTTCACCTGGTAAACAAGATATTGTGAATCAAACCTCAGACATGACGTTACAAGAGTCTCTTTTACAGAATGGAAGTTACAAGACTTACAAAAAGAGTTTCCTAAAATTCTACTTACTCTGAGTGATCCATGCCTTCATCGTCCTTATAGGAATCATTATTTTAGCACTCCAGTTCCTCAGCTTCGAGGAATGGTAAACTTAAAACATTTCAGCAATTTTGTTAAACACAGGGGTTTTGGGGTTTTGGGGTTTTGGGGTTTTGGGGTTTTGGGGTTTTGGGG